TTAACTTTACAACACTATGCGTTAGTAGATGGATCTGAGAGTTGGCATTTTTACGAGTACCACAAGTGCGTGCTTTGTAGAAATGATGACCAAAAACATATTGGAAAATTACCCCCAAAAGCCGCTATAGAGCAGAGGAAGAAGAACATTTAGGGATTTTGAGTTCCATAATAATAGGAACTCTTCTATGACCATTTTCAAATGTATGAGTAGTTTTTATCATTTCTAATTGTATTGATGCTTTTTGTTATTATTGTAAAAGATATTGTCATAAATTTTATTAATTATAGTCTTACTTCAAATAAAGGTTGTTATTTACTTGAATCATTTTATGCCCCGGCCCCTCGTGTCAACAATAATCTCATTATGTGTCAAGGATCAAGATGGATTCTTTATAACATATGCACTATGGGTACTCGAAAATGTACAATATTCTTAATCGAATGCATCATTACACATATACAGTACACTCTTAGCTTAGGGTATAAAACATGAGCTAAAAACAACAATGCACACTCTAGTCTGTGCTTAAATGAAATTTTACATTGCAATTAAACCAAATCTAACATTCTAAATCTAAAAAAAATTAGGCAAAATTAAAGGATTCTCTCTTGGATTTCCTCTTTTCTTCTTACCTTCTGTACTCAGTGTAATCATCAATTTTCTTTTACACATTTGTTTTGAGTCCCTCCAAGATAGTGCTACTCGTCACAGTTGTGCTTTTGTTCTCCATATTTGCTCTTCCACTGCACCCATGTGTTGCTCAATTTTGACCTTCTGCATTGCTAACAACAGTACATTTCAGCACTGACACTCTGCATTTCTAACAACTATATATCTCATTAATTTGTCATTTCATGATGCATTATAACAAGATATCATTTCGTAATGCATTTTTTACGACACCATGCAAATTTTCACCTAATGCCGCTACACACCATGAAACCCTAAGTGCACCATAGGGCGTGAAACAATCATTCTCGCACAGCCACATAAATCCCCAAGTTCTAACATAATAAATAAAAATTCTTTAGTATATGAACCATACATTCAAGAATTTTTACATTTACATATATAACAAATCAAGTCAACATACCCGATGATGGTGCATCATCAACGCGTCTCTGTGTTTTCATCACCATCGCACTACACTTTGTAGCAAGTTTTGTTAATCTCCCATGATTATCTTTGATTTTTACATTCAAGAATTTTTACATTTACATATATAACAAATCAAGTCAAATACTCCGGGATAAATACTCCCGGAGTATTTGTCCACTTTTAATTTTTTTTATCAAATTAGTAAACTTTGACTCCAAATCAAACAAAATAATATTATATATTCATACAGAAACAAAAGTTATCGAGAAAAGAGATAAAGTAAAATTGTAATCAAATTTGGGACGTGGGGGTATAAAATATTTTGAAATATTATTTTACCTAATTAATATACAATATACATTTTATTTAATTATTTACCAAAGATTGAAACGATTTAATAAAAAAAGTTAAAAATGTTGATCCATTCAATATCTTCCTCTTTAGTGCGTGTGAGTGGCTGATGTTGATCCATTCAATCATTAACTATTTTAACGCATCCTTACTTTACGAAAATGCCCCTCTTTGTTGACCTATCCCTATTTGATCGCATATGGTCCTTAGTTACCGCAAAACATATATGTGTAGTTTTCCAAATCATTAAAAAGCTCAGCCGTTCGATGCACTTAATACAAGGGTTAAGATTCATTCTTATTTCTTTCATTGTGAGTCATTCTTACTAGAACCACACCCTATATATATATATATATATATATATATATATATATATATATATATATATATATATATAGGTATCATTTTATAGATTTTGTAAAAATATTTTCGACGGTATATTATTTGTCAAATAATTACTTACGCATAAAAAGTAATGAACAAATAAATGATTCAATAGAAACTTCATCGTGGCCGTGTCCACTACCTTTCTCCCATCCACTCACGCACAACACTCACGAGTGTGTGGGGGAGGGGGGTGATGAGGGATATTCATCAATGATGTGGTAGTGTCACGGAAGATCACTCCTCTCTTTCAATGAAGCAAGTAGGAGTGTGCACCGGTCTAAGATCAGACCGGACTGGAACCGGTTTGGACCAAAACCAGAATAATGTTTTTGCTTAGACCGAAGACCGGACCTGCCTGTAATCGGAGTGGACTGGTCCGGACCTATTTTTTCCGGTCTGCTCCAGATTTATTGTAAAATTTATACAGAAACTGAACTGTGTTTCTCATTAATCACCACCGTATATATACAAATATATAAGCGGGCTTAAGTAGTGGGCCCAAATTACTAATCTACATCTTTAATACAAATATCCGTTAACAACTTTTGCCCTACTCCATTTTATACGCTTTTTCACGTGATCTACTTCAAACTTTGTGAGTTGTGACAATCATAAATTATTCTTTTTTTTTCAAAAATAAAATTCCACAAACAATTTATTACTCTCTCACTATCGTATTATTTAATTTCAAAATATTATTTTATCTAATGAGGATGTTCATCAGTGATGTGGCAGTGTCACGCAAGATCACTCCTCTCCTTCGATGAAGCAAGCCTAAAGTCTATCATGTAGTTTGTATGGTCAAAGCCAGTGTCACTAAGATGGAGTATTTAAGAGAGCCCCTTTAAAGTATTCTCTGGGTACAAAGTACCGAGTATTTGTTTTACCCTTTACTCATTTTTCCATTCAAAATGTCTACTTTTGTCCTACTTCATTGTTACACGATTTGTTTTTAGAAAAGGAAAATGCTAGAGTCACAAACATATACTCCGTAGTTCACAAACTTCACAAACTTTCTTTTTGTTGATTTTAAATTAAAATATCATTTATTATTTGAGTGCATCTTATTTTTAGGAAAGTGTTTAAAAGGTAAGTTTGTGAATTTTGTGAACTGTTTGTTTGTAACTCTAGCATTACTCTTTAGGAAAAACGAAATTTCACGTGGCCCACTTCACACTTTGTGAGTTGTGACAACAATAAAATACTCTTTTTTAATTAAATTCCACAGACAATTTATTACTCCATCCGTCCCGCAGTATTTGTTTATTTTTAACTTTTTTTAATCAAAATTTCTAAATTTTGACCTTGAATTAAATAGAGTGATATTAGATATTGATACAAAAATAGTTTTATATAAATATTTTCAAAATATTATTTAATCTAATTAGTATACAGTATATATTTTATATAATTATAGGTCAAAGGTTAAAAATGATTAACTATAAAAATGTCAAAATTAAAAAAATATTCAAAGATGGGGGTAGTAGTAACCATACGATATGTTATTGTCTTATTGAGATTTATATAAATAAAAAAAATAAAAATTGTATGAATCACACTATTTTTTTGGGAAAAGACCAGAATAAAAGTAAAACATTGATAACAAACCAAAATAAGAATTCTTTGTTTAATTCACAAAATAGACGTTAATATGAATTTACATTATCAATCATGATCATATATATTACAAAAAAATATAGTAAAATATACATGTGCAATGTCACATTACCATAAAGCGAACTCCTATTTAGAAAATAAAAAGAAATGAGTATTTTGATACTTTCTCTAGTTTTACTTCTATTTGGCTAATTTCTTATTTTTTATGTTTTTTTTAACAAATTAAAAATATAAAATCGATGACGTGAATATATGTGAATCAATAAAGATGACGTGAATATATGTGAATCAATAAAGTCAATATATCCAGTTAATCACTTAATCTATACACTCCGTCAATCAATGGGAAGGATTAAGGAAGACTAAAAAAAGTGGAAAGCTAATTGAGATCCTAAATTTTGAAAAAGTATTTGGCCATTCATGCGAATCAATCATGGACTTACCATGTGTTTGGATGCAGACAATATGGAAAGTAAGAAAAATTTAATTATTTTAAATTCCATTGCTGCATCTAACCATCTAGGTCTACAAAATTTAATTATTCTAACACGATTTTGTAATTCTCTCCGTGTTCTAAATTAATTTTCTTGGTAAAGTTTGGTACATACATTAAGAAAAGTAAAATTAGGTAATTGAAATTGATGCAAAGGGGGAGACAAAGATGACGGGTCACAAAAAAGCTTTCCAAAAAAAGAAAGGACCAAAACATCAAAGTTTTGGGGACATTCCAAAAAAAATTAAGAAAATTAATTTTGGACAGAGAAAGTATATGATATTTTCTCATTTTTCATTAATAAAAACAGTATCTCATCAAGACGAGAAATTAGGCTGTATGTAGAGAAAACTTATAAAATGACTAATTTGCCCTTTATTACTCATTTTGTGAAGTCTTTTCACTTTTTTACATTTTCTTTCTCCTTATTCTCTCTCCAACTAAACAAAAGAAAAAACGGCAAAGTTTCCATGACGTTGCCCGGTAATGTCATGGAATGACCCGGGGCCGCTGCGTTGCCCAGTTCGTAAAATTGACGGTTCCTACCCCTCTATCCCCCCAATAAACCCCCGCCCCGACCCGAACACACTCCCCACCCCTCCAATTGCACCCACAAGTTGATTTTGACTTTGGAGTCAAAAATTGGCAAGGGTGGGACGGGGTTGGGGGCAAGCATGGCAGGGCGATGGTGGACAAAGGCGGAGAGTGAATGGAAAATTTCCTTCCAAATCAAACGGAAAATATTTTTCCACTTGTGGAGGGAAAATATTTTTTTCAGGAAAATATGTTCCAATCATTTAAGTTACCAAACCCAGAAAATTAGAATGAAAATTTTCGAAAGAATATTTTGCCCTAACCAAACACTACCTTAACTTTAAAAAGTCAAAGAGATAAATTGAGGCATTCAAATGTTAAAAAAAAGGTCCATAGACGACAACGCCCCCTTTGTCGGGGCATCATAAACCGTGATTTTTGAGATAAAGCATTACCCTATACCCTTGTTTTCTCCTTAACACTATTTTAGAATAAATCAGTTTTCCATTCAATTCAGTGATAATCTATCTAATGGAAGGTCTGATCAAAAAATTCTCCAACAATAGTGTTGACGCCCAGATGAAGAAAACAGAGGGAGAGGAACAACAGGGGGACTTCCCAGATGCCACAATCAAGTACATAAGCCAGATGCTGATGGAGGAAGAAGAGCTGGAGACTCAGCGTTGCATGTTCAGAGACGCCATGGCTCTCCACGCCACCGAGAAATACTTCTCCGCTGTACTCGACGGCACTGTAGCCGATAACATGCGTCCGCCGCAGGACGGCTTCTCATGGACCTGTGCTCTGACTAACTCTTTTTCTTCTTCTTCTTCTGATGAACCTTGCTTTGGTTTGAGTCTTCCGGACGCCAGTGAGGAAAAGAAGGGGAGGGATCAGTCGCCTCCCAACGGGAAACGGGATCACAATTTGTTTTCTTTGTCGTCTTACAATAAC